AGTTATTTTTAAAATTAAACACTAAAGATGGTCTCGGAAAAAAGCTGATTTTTATATCCACTATGTATTTACTGGTCGTAAATAATTGTTGCGTTTTGATTTTTTTAGAAGAGCTCATTATAACAATCACCAATATAAACATTAATAACCTTCTGGAAATGATTCGTCTAGAATCAATCGATATTATATTGCGTACAACCTCTTCTATGGTCGGTTTTCGAGGTCAACATCTCCAGAGTAATTGCAAGTTTAAGTTCTAACTAGAGCTGGTGCAGTGTTAAATTTATGAGTGATAATGAAATTTTAAAGTAACAGGTTCTTACCAGTAACTGCTACAGGTAGCTGTTCAAAATGATAGAGTTAACCTTTTCAACCACATTAAATAAGGCTATTTATCGATTATTTAGCTAGGTAAATAAGTCTGTGTTATACTAGTTAAGGTCCGGTACAATTTTTCATCTCATATTGTAGTGAAGGAGAACACAGGTGGGGCAACCGGATTGTATTTAATGAAAATAACAGAGTTACTCAGTAAAATCGGAAAACCATATCGTAAATCGTTAATTTGCAAAATATCAGTTCATCATATCGAACTGGATTGTTCCTGTTGCAAAACATCAATTCATTGTCACTATTCATGCGTTTAATACAAATTCCATTGTATTCTAACTCTTCATTTCTTGATCTTCCCCCATCTTCTGCTGCCAGACATTACGTTGACATTCACGTCATATACTACTTATAAGGAGCTCGCACCGTAATATCACTTCATTACTTGAGTGAGGGTTAAAATAGTGCTTATAAGGTGAAGAGAGAATTAATCTTATGAGTAATGCGAATATCTATACAAGCTATGAAAGAATGAATGCCACAGTATAATTGCGACCAATTTTGAATCATTTCATTTGCTTTTAACCATGAAATGCAGTTTTTAAATTCAAGTCTCAATCAGATAATGAACACCATACCATCTGTTACAAACTTCAATTCAGTGATATATTGAATTGATGGTTTCAGTTAGTTGTTTAACGGTAATGGATTTTTAAAAAAATCTCCCTTATATTAGGCGCGTGACATGAATTTCCTTCAGGTTGATAAAAACTTATCAGTAACCTAGAAAGCGAATTCCTTTTATACAGTTTTTTTCTCAATCTAAACTGATAGTTGCATTTCCGGCTGTTAAATGTTAATTAGTGAATTATTTTTTTAGCCTATCTAAATTACATTATTATGAAATTGATTTTAATTCAAGGTATATAAACCATGAGATTTGATATTTTCCTGTATGGATTAAAAGCCACTGACTAAAAGAAACAAGAAGTAACAATTTGACATTTATGTTGATGACATGAAGTATTGGATAATAAACATAAAGGGCCTAACAACCACTTTGTGTTGATGTTTCATTAACTTGAACAATAGTTTCAAATTCACTTTGTGAAATTGTAAATATACCATTACGATAACAACAAAGAATTAAAAAAATAGGTGTATTTACCGAATCCCAACAGAGCATATGTAATGGAATGAATGAGCACCTTATTACTTACATAGAAAAACATAGAATTAAACAATGATAATAGTCATAGGTGAATCTTCAAGTCATTGACCAAAAGAATTTTTCAAAAACTAAATTACTTTTTATAATAAAAAAATTAACGGGTAATAATAATAATAGTAACAACAATAATAATGACTGAATTCTCACAAACTTATTTATGCGCAAGTGTTACTGTTGTTAATAATTAGATTTTTATTTGTGTCCCACGAGTTTTGCTTTACAAAATCAATCGGCTATAACTAACGTGCTGTCTGCTATCTTAGAATTGGAAATTTTAAACCAAATAAAATCCCTGCTTTCATACTTAGTCACTGGAATAGATATTACGGTGTTGAATTAGTGCATTGAAATGTTTACTTAATCGTTTATTCTTTTTCTAGTATCTTGGATGAAACGACATAATTAGCAAACCATACAAGCCTATCATAATTTATTTTAATGTTTGATTAATTTATGGTTAGACAATTTTATTCAAGATTATCTATCGCTGGCAAGGTGACTTGAATGGTACTGTAAAGCTGTTTAACAACCGGCTAAGATAGACGCCCAACTACATAAAAAAAGAATAAAATTATCCTAAGGTCTTTCATAGCTGAGACATCACTAATCTGAAATCTAGTAACTTTTTATATTTTGGCATTACAGATATTCATCAAACATACTGAATAGCAGTGAAGCTTTCTGTAATAAATTTCTTTCATTTGAGATACGAAAACTATACCAAAGAGTTAAGGAATAAATTTATTACCAAATAAAGTAAAATCCACTTTAAAAAAAGATTATAAACCCAATTATCATATCCCATTTCAAATAAAAATTGGAAGATAAACAATAAAATTATCCGAATAGGAAATGGTAACATTTAAAGATAAAATATTTTAAAGAAGTGCACTGAATCATTATTTCACTTAAATGCTGATAAGAAAAACTGAATATTTGTCTTATGGTTTTGATCTGGAATTTGAAATACCTTGATAAGATCTAAATTTAACAATGGTGTCAGTGGTAAAAGACAAAATCAGTCTGAGACCAGTATGATGATGATTAGAGAAGAACGAATGACTGACGAATATAAATTGTATGCGTATTTTAAGACAGACTTAATGCATTCTGTGCATACTCCAACCAGGTAACTTGTATCGACCTTCAAAGTGCTATAGATTGGTGAACCACGTTAATTTAACAGACCCTAATTAATCCAGATTTAGTTAGAGATTTCTTAAGTTAGTAAACTATCGAGTATTGGGTATAATGTTTTAAAAGGAACCATTAAGCTCAGTAAATTTACACTAGTAGTCTGTGTACTTTAATGTCTAGCCCACAGGGCTTGTCCCCCAAGCTTCCAGACAATATAACTAATCTATCCTACTTGAGTTATTATTCACACGTCATCCGACCTTGCGCACTATTCGCTTTTATCTTGGATATTTTTATTAGTGTGTGTGCCTCCTGCACATGTCTAGCTTATTTTCGTCTGATCATAAATGCTTAGTCATGCCTCATCACATTGACTTGGCTTCGATTTGCTCCCAAGCTATGTATTCTCCTGTCTGTTTGCATCAAGGATTACTTGAAATTAACTCATCCAACCAAATCCGTATTTGTCTTCTTACTACCACTGTCGAAAAAACGGGGTTCATTTAAATATGATATACTTTAACCAACTAACTGCTATGAGTAAACAAAATAAATTTGGAATTTCAGTAATAGTTCGTTCGATTACTTCGCAGATAACCAGCTAAAAAACTACAATGAAGTTGGGCTATGGAAAAAAGTTGATTTATCAACAAAATAATCAATTTGATTTAGTAACCAACAAAAATTTCTGTAAACTAACAATAAAGGGATAAAACCAAATAAACTATTCACAACTATAATAAACATATAGAATGTTATTAACTAGAACGAGACTGTTTTATGAATAAATTAAAGAGGAACTTAAATCAACATCAACATTTCGTAGAATGAGTGTAAAAAAACCCACTTCTGAGTAAAATAATGTTTAAAAAGCAAATGACAATGACTTTATTTTATGCATGAAAAGTTGTGATGTTTTTTGGACTCATCGTTTCTAAAACCTACACAATGCTATCATGTAATTTATCATTCTTTCTTTTATACTTCAACATATTGTTACATAACTTGACATAATGTTATTTCAAGCCTTTTTAGAGTAGAAAATATTATTCCGTATTAGAAATAAAGAAGCTATGTATCATTGCTTGTCTGATGACGTTATTCTTCCAATTAAAATATTTAGGCGTTTTTTTATTTTATATTCATTAAAAGTATAGTAAAACTAATTCTAATGAATATTGACATTGTTATTAACAATTACCTAATGATAATGTGTCAAGATTGAACCTTAAAAAAATTGCTAAGATGTCTGATTCGATAAGTAATGGTTCTTTATACTTCTGAAAGTAAATGTGTACATGATTACATTCAGAATTGAACTGATGACCACAGAGTTAGTTAAATATATTACTAACCTATGATATTGATTACTTTTCCAGTTATCTGTGAAATTTCATCAGCTGGTTATAGACAATTAATTCCATATCTGTGTTTACTCGATAAATTACTGACTTTCAGATGGTAAACACTATTCTGTATAATGTGTACAGATTTGGCTATTCATCAAACTATATAAGATTGAGTATTATTCTCGGTTTCAAATAAATCCTCACCCACCGTCTTCTTCTGACTTACATAGTTAAGTGTTTGACGATAAAAAAGGAAATATTAAAAGTATGGTTCAAGTCAAATTGTCTGTCATTAAAATTTTTATATCACGATTTATTCTACATAATGCTGATATAATGTTAATAAGATGCACACTATCTACATATTGTATACCTCTACTATATGTGCCTATAGTTTAATATATGTGTTTTAAATGATTGAATCATATACAACATGAAGTGTATACGATATGGGTCAATAAATAGTGATTACTTAAAAATAAACATCGCACTACTGATGGAGGACACTTGTGCTTGGAATCGCTCAGTAGTAATAATATGTACTGTGGTCTTGAGTGACGTGAGTTTTAATCCTACACAAAACATCATTTTCCTCGGGCTATAAGTTTTATCTTTCTGAAAAATATTAATTAAGACAAAATCTAAGTTAAAATTGTCCAATACCCTAATTTCAGTCACGTAAAGTTAAAACATAATACGTGTGATGCTGAATTACTTATACCACCGGTTAAATTCCAGTCTTATCAGTAAAAAGTCATCAATACCAAAACATTAGATCAAAAATGACAGCAATTAATATTCTGTTTACAACTGGATATACAACATATACAATGTTAAATGCCAATGAAAAACAGTTATATATATATATATATATATATATATATATATATATATATATATATATATATATATATATATTTAAACACACAAATTTAACTTCCCGAATGAATTACCTTCTATCATTATTCTGTCCTCCCAATTTTTGCATCATATCTGGCTTTCTGTTACGAAATCTTATATTAACACCATACTGATTGGGTATCACTTTAACACCCCAGAATTTTGAAGCTTTAGGTCGTACAAAGCGTATAGTTGGGCCAAATTGAATTCTTTCATTATTGTAAATATAATGTCGATCGTTTTTTTTAAAGTTTAGTGTGGATGAAAAAAAAAGAAAACGAAATAAAATTTGACTCGTTAATTTATCAAAAACTGGTAATCGAATAAAAACATGTACTGTAAAACTTTTCACAAAATAAGTCTATTCAAAGAAAATTTAATTATCAAATGAAATCCATGTACAATGACAGACAGATTATCTGTTATTTTGTTTTTAGTTTGGTTCAAGTATTGATCGTCTGTCAAATTTGAAACTTGGAGTCTTTTTTTTTGATTAATTTTTGATGATGAGTGAGAGTTGGAGATAAAAATGAATTCACTTCAGTTGAATCTCAAAAACACGTCTGACAGACTGCTTGATACAAATATAACTTTGGGGAAAATCGACAAACAATTAACGTATCAGTGTAATTAGATGAACATTATACAATCGACTTCGAGTAGTTCACCTAATTTTTGAGAAAATGTATTGATATATTTGATGTACTGCATTTATTGGTGTAAATAAGATCAACTTGGTCAGAATAAAAATCGAATTCACTATTCAACCATCGACAAAAACTGCTCTTCAACTGGTATAAATTGCTTTACTTGTTTAAAACTCCCCGATTTCTAGTCTCAGTTCACTTTAAATTATCTTTACAATTCCTACGTAACGCGTCTGTGATATACCATGAACACAATTTCTGAACATTATTTATGTAGCTCGTATCCTACCTGGTGATGATGTTATAATTTCATTTACTTTTCACAATTATCGAATGTTGTTCTATAAATTACTGAAATTTAAAACTGACGTAAATCCTTTCAATAAAATCAGTCTTATCATTTAACATCAATTTAGTTTTAATCTAATGACTGTATGCAAGTGTGTAAGCATACATCACGCAAACTATGAGTCATATCTTTCGTGAAGTGAAATATATTATAACTATAATGATTGAACATTCAATAATAATTCATTCCTTGTTTCCATTTAAAAGTGACAGCTAACAATAAATTTTTAAACCCTTTTTTTCACTCTCTTCTCTCGATTCAAATGCCTAATAGCTATTGAAACTTGAACAATTCTCTGACACTAGTATGCATATATACACTAACATATTAGTCGAATGCATAAAGAAGTGTGATAAATATAAATTCATTTCTTGAAAATAAAGATGATGAGTTAAAATGTTTTATATTTTAGCTTAAGATTCATTCATCTGTACCAGACTAATTCAAAGCTAAGTGTAGAATCATCAAGTTAAAGATATTAGCAACATATGGGTTACACCCACTTAAATGTATTTATCAAAAGGCATAACATGAGTTATTTACTATTATTAGACAATGACTAATGTCAAACTTGTTTATTATGATGATGGATGTTTGGAATGAATTGCATATGTTCAAGTTAACACATTTTTTGTCGATTTTTGTAGTATGGTACAATATGTATTCTAGCTAATGCATCATGAATAACCTTGTAAACTTAGTAATTTTGTGATTCTTATACAACAAAGACAATCTTTTCGTATTACGTAATATATCTGGAAGTTATTTGAGCGTTTCAGCCATGTTCATACTTATAAAATGACAACTGAAATAGAGATTAAGCTGTATTAAGGAGAAAAATAACAAAAAATATATTAAACAGATCAATAAATCGAGTTTAAACCTAACTCGGACAGTTTGTTGGCCGATGAAATATTTGCTATGGTTTTATGTCAGTCTCATCCATTGGAAATCTTATAAGAGCATACAATTAACTGACCTTTAGACAGATTAAGCCATATGGTTGGACAACTATAAATTCTATGAATTTTTTTTTGGAGATCTATCATCCAGATAACACAAAATATCAATACTTTAGTTATTCTAAACTCAATGTAATTTCAGTTATTTCTTAAATGTCATTTTCATCTGTCATGAAAACTATTAATCTAAATAAACTCAACATTTTGACAAATGGTTACAATGTACTTTTTTTTCTATTAATTCTTTTTTTTTGGAAAACTATCTATAATGTTATTTCATCATAGACAATGTATTTTTTTTAAAAAAAACACAGAACAAACTTTAAATTGTTCAGTGTAATTGTATTCTATAGTTAAACAACAGTTAACATAGTATGTATGGTAAATTATTTATAAAAATTGTAAATATGCATGACGTTTCTTTTCAAAATGATATTGATGGGATTTTCTTTCATACAAAAAAAAGGTTATTGATTTCTACTTTGAAATAATTCACAACATCATATTTTTGTAACTAAAAATGATCAGTATGGTTTTAAAAGTTTGCATATTGAATATTTGATTATTTCAAGGAACTTGAAGTTAATTATTTTCTATTAATTAACTTTTTGTGTTTAAAAAATTCTTGTTAGAGAAAATAAAGTTTTATATAGTTTTCTCATCATAAGAAATGAGATAAATAACAAGCGTTTTAAGTGAACTAAGTTTCAAAGAATAAAAATACTAATAATACAAAAAAAAATGTTCTGAGCAAGACAGGAGTAAATCAACGATAAGGATTTGTTTAAAATGAATTTTTAAAGCTAACACTATGTAGAGAGGAAATTTGCACGCAATAAATAAGCTGGGAAAATATTGGAACAGATTAATCACAAAGTTGAAAATATGGTAATTTGTAACGAGTTCGGTTTTTTTCCTGTTACAATTTCATGACTCATACAGTAGCCATTTTTAAGCGTTTTAAAAATCAGTCCCATAATCTGTCGCATATATATATATATATTTATATGTATGTATATATATATATATATATATATATATATATATATATATATATATATATATATATATATATATACATATATGTATGTATATACATTGTTAGGTTTTTCTGTGATTGTGTCAAAAACATACATTTCTAAAGTAAAGCACATAATCTCGAAATCATAAAATTATTAGTACAATTATCACCTAAAGAAATCATAGCAATACTAGCTGTAGTTTATGTAGTCTAAATTAATTGTACTGTTTGCAAAGCATGATTCGGCGGGAAAGTGAGACGGAAACTATAGCTATGGGGAGGAAGAAAAAAAACGTTTACAATTTCAATAATAACATTAACAAAGATATTCTCATGATTTCAATAAACAGTAAAAACAACAAAATTGACTGTACGAACTACAAACTCACTGACAATAAATATAATCACATCATATAATGTACATAAATTAATAGTCGTTAAAAAATAAAAGTGGAAAATAAAATTTCTCTCTTTTTTTGTGATTTGTTTATTGAAAATTCAGCACGGTTTTTTTTCGTATTGAGGAAATGAGTTGGTTGTTAGCTTTATTTTTCGAGCTTATTCCACGCAACTGTGATAATATGTCAAATGAAAATTAATTGCATAATTAACTTTTGAAAAGGTAGTTTATGAAAAAAAATAAATAACCATGTTAAAAAACGTTTCTATGACTGATTAAGGATGTTTTGTAAATGATACTTCAACCATTATTTATTATAGCCTTTAAGAAATGCATTTATTCAAGAAAAGAAGGTCAGTAAATAATCTATACAACAACAAAGCATAGTGTACAAACTTGTACCTAAGATAAAACAATCAAGTACAAAGTTTTGGTCTCTGCTTGATCGAATTCATAAAAACTGCCACTGTATCCTTCGATTATTGACAGATAAGTTTTTAAGTGTGAAATATAAGTGTTTGATAACATTCCTCTGACCATAAAAGTATTCATGATATCACTAGTGGTGTACACTAGTAATAATGATACTTTATAGTAAACTACTCAGTATATTCTTATATTGATACGTTGAAGATAACATTAAACCTTATCAATCAATGAATTGTCCCATAGACAACACTGAACATTTACAGATTTTTATTTTTGGTTTTAACTAATTAGTGAATAATGTGGTTTGTCTCGCTCCATCTGTAATGACTTCGATAAATAAGCGATAAATAAATATACAATTTATTCTTTATTCTTACTTAATTGTTTGTCCTGATGATATGCTTGCTGCTATTACGAGTTCACTTTACTCGGTAAACGGAACGAAGATCAACGATGCAATGACCCGATAGGCTATCCTAATCCGATTGTCCAATAGCCTGCTAGCTAGAGGAAGGAGTCTTAATAAGACGTAGAGAGAATGTATTTCACATGCACGCAAAAAATACAAGGTCCACAAGCACATAAACCAAGCTTATTTATAAAATGATAGAAACGCCCTTGGATGAGCCATGAAACAGCGTACTAAAATAGTCCATCAACTAATGACAGTTAAGGATTTTCCGAATGGAAAATGTAAGCTGAAGTTCAACTAAGCGTCTTTGGCGAGGAACCATAAAAATTCAAAATTTCAGAAACAAATTACAAAATTAGGACCTTCTCCAATTGAGTTCTGGGGATCTAACGCCCCGAACACCGACAAATTATGTTCTCTTTAAAACTAGAACTTCAAAATTTAATTTGTATGATGCATAATTTTTAACAACATCCATGAATTCTTGGTGAATTAGGTTACAAAAGATAAAATTTTCAAGAACAAATGACACAAGTTTTCGATTCGGATTGTCAGATACGAGGTTTCTGTTCCTTAAAAAAGCTAATTATAACAGGTAGAAATAATTTTCTTCCTGAACAGATATCTGAAGTCTAACATATCAGAAAAAGCCTAAAGGACATTATATTAGGATCATTGGTATCTAGCTAAATGTTTTGTGATTTGACTGTCGTTCAAATGTTACAAACATAGAGAAATGCCATTATGTAAAAAGCAGCAAAAATAAGTTCCTTTTTGTTTATATCATAAACTATATCAACTGAATATTATCACGCAATTCAATTTTATGTACCATATTCAATGTTAACTTAGAAATAGTAGGTCACACAGTTTTTTTTGAATAACCAATATCAAATGTCAAAATAATTACTTGGAATAAAAATAAGTGTTTATGTTATAAAACTGATTACGCAATGTTAAAACATAGTAGATTTCTATAAGCAATGTTT